TAACGGTATCGTTCAGCTCGATCATATGCTTCTTGAGCTGCCAGAAGGTGTTGGTGAATACGATGGGATAGTACCAGGTGTTCTGACCACTTGCATCTCGTGCGCCGGTAGCCTCGAGTGTGATGAAACGCCTGGGACCGGGGTGCATGGCGGCATACTGCAAAGTACCCGCGTCGGGGATCAGCGAGACGGTGAAGTTGGGATGGTAGTAGGAGGATACAATCTTTGGCGCATTCTTCTCCTCCTCGGTTTCCACCTCGGCTCTTTCTGGCATATCGCTCAGCAAGTTCCTCGTCTTCGCGATCTTCTTCTTGGGCTGGTATTGGGACAATGGACGGATGAAGTGGTAGGCCTTGCTGTTGTCGTAGCCGGGCTGCGTGGGATCGAGCACGCTGCCACTCTGCGCAACGTAGAAGTGAGCAAGCAGAGTAGCATTATGCTGCACTTCGCTTGGGACCTTGAACTCGGTATGGATTTCTCTGTTCTCCTTGTAGTCTCCAAACTTGAAGTTCTTCTCCTCAATCAACAGCGAGTCCTTAGGCATCGATTTGAGTGGGGGCATTGCGACGGACGAGGAGATGTACATGGCGATGTCCATCTCAGTGCCGGCAGGCCACATGGGCGCGACAGCATATGGGATGTGGCTGTACTGAGCACCAGGGTCAAGAGATTGTGGGCGCTGCTCCCATGCGGGAATCACGACATTGCCAGCTGGTTTGACGGCGGCGACTGAGCCAGTTTGCGCGGGATCGTTGACGGCGGGGGCGGGTTTGGCAGTCTGGGGCATGAAGTACTTCATGCCCCCCTGAATGAGCAGGAACAGGCCCACGCTTTGCACAATGGACTTGACGAGCTATCAGGGAGCCGTCAGCTATCATCTCGGAGCAGAGGGGTCTTGTTCGCGACTTACACTCTTGCCCTCCTCGGGCGGCGCGGCGGCTGCTTGTGCCTCTGGCATGATGGCAACGTGCGGAACCTAGATTCCGGCTTGAGCAGCTTGTTAGGTGGAGAAGGAAGATGAACTCGCGATGAAGTCTGAACACATAATCTGGAGACTTTCCGAGGAATTGGCGGTTCCGCCGAGGGCCCGTGCCTGTCCCGCGTCAGGGTCTAGCCACATGGGCCTCGAGTTCCCGGCCCAGGTGGCGGTGACCTCATGCACCTCACCGAAATGCATACCTTTTGGAGCTTACCCTTTACCAAGGGATTGCAGCAATGGGTCGACGGAAATGCTGCGCAGAATGGTGCTGCCTAATATCACCTTGACGACCTCATAATGGGGCTACCGCTGCCTAAACCCCTCCTTCGTTGGAGATGCTCTTCTCAAGCTTCTGTCGCCGCCCCTCCTCAACACGTCAATAACTTTTGACAGCCCGCGTTCCGACTCTAGTTCCCTCGTTCCGAGCATCTCTATCAACCATCCGAACAACCATGGCGGAAAACAACGCAACAGCTAGCAATGGCTCTGCCAAGCAGCCCGTGGTTGCCGTATTGTATGTAGCGAGGACGCCAACCGATTGATGGAGCGAATGGCTAACTGTGATACAGCTGCGGCGCTTCCAGTGGCACATCGCCAGTCCACATGGAGGCAGCGAGGCAACTTGCGCATGCTCTCCACAAGGCCAACACCAAGGTCGTGTACGGCGGCGGCACTGTCGGCCTCATGGGCGAGGTAGCACGAACCCTCGTCTCGCTGTCGGGCCCCGACTCGGTCCACGGCATCATCCCCGGCGCCCTCACTCAACTCGAGCAGCACAACGACCTTGCCAACCCTAACGGCCACTCTATCGACGCAGACAAATATGGACGCACTACTGTTGTCAAGGACATGCACACTCGAAAGCAGATGATGGCTCAGGAAGTTGTCAAGGGTGGGCCAGGCGGCGGCTTCGTTGCTCTACCTGGTGGCTACGGAACATTTGAGGAACTGATGGAGATTACCACCTGGAACCAGCTAGGCATCCACGACATGCCTGTCATCGTGTACAACGTGGACGGCTATTGGAGTGGTCTCATTGAGTGGGTCAAGAACGCTGTGACCAGCGGTTTCGTTGCGCCTACCAATGCTGGCATCATCTCTGAGGCTCTTAGCGCCGACGAAGTGATAACACATCTGAAGGAGTATCAGAGTGCGCCTGGACGCTTCAACTTGACCTGGGAGGAGCAGTAAAGGGTATGTGGTTCAAGGTTGCGGAAAGGCTCGATAACTCCACTCTTCAACCCCAAAAAATGGTTCAAGGCACGTTGGTGCTAGATGATTAGACAGAATCTCACAGGTGGACTCTGTGTTAGTAAACACATTCATGTAGATTAATTAGACTAGACTACAAATCAAAAGGTCAAAGAATCGTTCCCGTACTGAGCAAGTGAGCGTATCCGAACACTCTGGCCGCATATGGTGATCTCACCCGACAATCCCTACAAGCTGACGACATGTTCTGCAAAAGCTTTGCCGGCCCGAGCAACTGATCTTCGGCAATAAACATCGCGGAGCGAGGCTGGTGAGATTACATGCTTTAAAGAGCATGGTACCGGTGCTGTACGGAATGCCTAAGCCCGTTGAGGCAGGAGCGAAACCATGTCCGACGCGCGAGCCCATTTCATTCGACAACCCCGCCAAAAGTCAAGATAGTGACCTCAACGCGCGTATAATGACAAGCTTTGACAAGCCTTTTCCAAGACTGCTTAAATACGCTAGGGTAAGTTGCTCTCACACTCTTCTCACTGCTCTTGCGCCATTTGTCTGCAGCTCTCAGCATGTTTACCAAGTCGGTAGTCACGCCTTTGTTGGCGCTTTCAAGCCTCGCCCTACAGGCTGCTGCTGTCTCTCAGAAGCAGTGGACTAAGAGGAGCGACCACTTGTACTTGCCGAAAGAGACTAGCGACTACAAGACCGCGACTGCTCCGAACAATGTCACTATTCGGTACAAGAACCCTGGTATCTGCGAGACTACTCCCGGCGTGGACAGCTACTCTGGATATGTCGATTTGACGCCTGATGTGTGTATCAAACTCACCCATACATACAAGCGCTCTTTCTAATGCGATATAGGTCCATGTGTTCTTCTGGTTCTTCGAATCTCGTAACGACCCAGCATCGGACCCGTTTACCTTGTGGTTGAACGGAGGTCCGGGATCTGACTCGCTGATCGGTTTATTCGAAGAGAACGGACCTTGCATGATCGATGACAACCTCACTGCGGTGTACAACCCGTACAGCTGGAACAATGTCTCGAACATGCTGTACATCTCGCAACCTGTCGGAACTGGTTTCAGCTACCAGAAGCAAGGTGTCGGAAGCTTCAATTCGTTCTCCGAAGACTTCCACTACAACTCTAGCGAATGGCCCGCTACTGGTCGATGGCCTCTGCTCGAACCGCTGAACACTGGTACTATTGATACTACGGATCTTGCCGCTGTTGCTGTGTGGGTGAGTAGAAATCTGTCATTGAATGCGTTTGACCTGCGCTAATCACGTTCGATGCATCCAGCACGTTTTCCAAGCCCTCCTGGCCACCATCCCCAAGTTTGATGCCAAGCTTGGAGATCTGGATGCTGCGAGAGACTTCAACCTCTTCACTGAGTCGTACGGTGGTCACTATGGCCCAGCATTCTTCAGCTACTTCTACAACCAGAACCTGAAGATCGAGAACGGAAGCATGCCCGGATACCCACTCAACTTCAACTCGCTCGGCATAATCAACGGCATCATTGACGAGGCCATCCAAGCCGAGCATTACCCCGAGTTCGCTGTTAACAACACTTACGGCATCAAGGCGTATAACGACACCGTTTACTCGTACGCCAAGTTTGCGAACAACATGTACAACGGATGTCTCTACCAGATCGCCCTCTGCCGAGCCGCCGCCGAAGGCAACACCACCTACTACCACGCCGATGCAAAGATCACCGAAGCCGAGCTAACACCAGGCGAGATGCAGATCTGCAACGAAGCAGCAGACATGTGCCGTGACAACGTCGAATCTCCGTACTACTATTACTCAGGCCGCGGCGTCTACGATATCCGTCACACGTACGAGGACCCGACACCTCCCTCTAACTACGGCGATTACTTGAACCTTGCAGAAATCCAGGACGCCCTAGGCGTTACCCTCAACTACTCTGGTAGCAATGGCATCTACTATGCTTTCCAGAACACGGGAGACTTCATCTACCCCAACTTCAGGCTCGATCTGGAGTACCTGCTGAGCCAGGATGTGCGTGTTAGTCTGGCGTATGGCGATGCTGACTACATCTGTAAGTCCTTTGATACCTACCGGTCATTCGATATTTCTAACACATTCAGGCAACTGGTTTGGTGGTGAAGCCATCAGTCTTGCGATGGAGTACACTCACAGCGACGAGTTCCGTGCCGCAGGTTACGCGCCTATGATGGTTGATGGTACGGAATACGGCGAGGTACGCCAGTATGGCAACTTTAGCTTTGCGCGCGTCTACGAGGCCGGTCATGAGATTCCTTATTATCAGCGTAAGTCTTCTTGCTACATCCGTTCCAGCCAGTCTGGGCAGACGACGGGCTTTGCTAATTCGACTTGTAGCTGTTGCCGCGTTGGCATACTTCAACCGTACTCTGTACCATTACGATATCGCGACTGGCGAGGAGAAGGTCACTGCCAACTTGACATCTTCTGGTCCTGCGAATGCAACTCACACGCAATCATTCGTGCCGATTACGTCGTCCATCATTCAGGCTTTCCCTTCGCCTATCTACCCCGCAACGACATCGGGGTACTAAGTAGTGCTGTCGTCACCGAGGCCAATGTAGCCTTAGTGTTCAGTGCGTTAGGCTACATCAAAGTGGTGTGCATTACTATCACGAATGAAAAGAGACTATGAATCAACTATGCCTAGTATGCTTGAAGACTAGTGATGCGTCCATGGCTTATTCCTAGTACCAAAGAATTTATCATCTCTTGCCCTTCCCCAGCTGTTCCCCTCCATCGAAGAAGAGACTTCACGAGAATCGCCCATCACGCTCATCAACGCTGCCTACAGATCTCAGCCTTGAACTCCTCATCATCTTTCCGCCATCCGATCCCGACATCCTCACTACCAGCTCCCTTCCAGAAGATGCTACCATCAGCATCATCGCGGATGGCCTCGATGATCCTATCCTGGTGATCGTCCTGCATCGTGGCCAATAGCGCCAGCTGCACCAACGACAAGTGCCTTCGTACATCGTAATCCGGGTCGTTCTCGTCGGGCTTGAACGTGTTGAGATCGATGCCGAAGTCCCCGCGTAGAATGCTTTGGTATGTGCGTTCGATCATGGCGTCTGTTACGGGTGCGTTTTTGGGCGTATATGTACCTAGAGCTTCCTTGGGGAACTTGTCGGTTTGACCTGGTGGGGTGATCTTTGCGATGTCGATGGTCGAGTTACGTGTGGTGTCGATGGGGGGAGGTCGCCTCATCTCTTTGGGGGTATGGGCGATCGAGAGTGGAGATTTGTCGAGGTCAGGAATGGTTCTTATCACATCAAACGTGACCGAGGGGATAGCTGATGAGGATTGGTCAGGAGCGGTTGGGGTTTCCTTCACATCAGACATGGTCGATGTGATAGCTGGTGAGGATTGGTCAGCAGGAGTGGGGTTTTCTTGCATTTCAGACATGGTCGTGGGATGGATAGTGAGTTCTAGATCCTGACTGTAGTAAGTCATCAATGTGAGTTCCTATGCCTGCTGATATGTAGTAAAGAAGTTTGCTGAAAGCACAGGACACGATACACGTTTGTGCAAACGACGCGTGGAACAATTGGTCGAGGCCTCGCAATATGTAGGCATCGAAGCCGACTGTGGTTAGAGGCCTTTCGTAGCAAAATAAGTCACAGGGAATCGGAGCGGATAGACAAACAGAACTTCGATGTCAAGGTCGTCAAACAGCGTTTGCACCAGGATATGCCTGTACAGGCCTACATACGCCAGATGTGAACGCCAAACTCCATGCTAAATGTTGCAGATGCTTCGAGGGAACGTTTTCATTTCGACGTAGGGAGTGCGAACAGCTGAGGCTGCATATTGATCTTGCACAAGCGCGCAATACAGCCAGACAATTGCAGAAGGGTTTGTACGCCTTCAAGAATGCGCATATGGGTAAAGCCAATTTCCTGGTTGCTGTTAGCCTCTGTAAAAACCGCCCGTTGCGAAGCCTCACCTTAATGAATTCCAGTTTTGCGTGCTCACTCAGCGTGTCAATCGTCTTTGTAACTTTGAACATTGTGCTGATGATGTCGTGACACGAGTATCCCAGATCCCACAGCTCTTTCAGTGATGTCAGAGCATCGTCGATACGCTGCTCATGGCACGCCTTGATCATGGCTTGCACCTTGATGGGGTGCGGGCTGTCGACCACCCTAAAGACATTGTCGCCATTAACGAAGCCGAACCCAGCAAAAGTCGACTGCAGGTTGTTGATGGCTTGTCGCATATCTCCCTCCGCTGAGAATACCAGTGCCGCAATTCCATCGTCTGAGTATTTCACGTCCTCAGCTTCGCAGATCTGCATGACGCGGCGCACGACTTGCGCATCGGTAAGGCGGGCGTATCGGAGGATGGCGCACCTCGATTGTAGCGGCTCGATGATCTTGTTCGACTGGTTGCAAGCGAATGCAAATCGAGTTGTTGCACTGTATATCTCCATTGTCCTCCTCAGAGCCTGTTGTGCACCACTGGTCATGCTGTCCGCTTCGTCGAGGATGACTAGCTTTTGCCTGCCCGGAGGAAGTGTGACTTTCTTCTGCGCAAAGCCCTTTATCCTGTTGCGTACAACGTCTATACCACGTTCGTCCGAGGCGTTGAGTTCGAGGACAGCCTCTTTGTAGGCATCACCGAGGAGTTGGCGTGCGAGACAGAGGATGGACGTGGTTTTGCCGATACCAGGCATACCAGAGATGATCATATGGGGCATGTTGCCATCTTTGGCGATGATCTTGAGGCGCTCAATGGTTTCGGTATTGCCGACGACATCATCGAGGTAGACCGGACGGTATTTCTCTACCCTGGGACGATGTTAGTCGGAGTAAGCTGGCGAAGGCCACGAGCGGTGAATTACCATGGCAGCTCGTAGTTTGCACCACCGGCCGCATTGGGGTTGGGTTTGACGCCATTGCTGGCGGCGGCTTTGGAGGACTCGGCTTTTGACATTTTGGGCTGTGGTGGTTGACTTGGAGGGGTGACGCGAAACACGCGATGCTCTGCAAACGCGCTTTCACGGGTCATCCGTCTTGGGACTAGTGCTCACGTGAGCCGGGCACGATCGACGCGCAGCCGCGGCAGCGAAATATCATGCCCTTGGCGCTAAAGATAGATTCGTCCGACGCGACGTCACCTGCGTAGCACGATAGATCAGATCGGGATTTTTTCTCCAGGTCACACACTGGCGTCGGTACGGATCGAGGCTATGTTCTTGCACATATTGTCCTGCACGCCTGTACAACGCATAGTACAAAATGATCCTCTCGGGGGATCTTCAGTTGGCATGCCAGATGGGCTTTCAGGTACCGACCGATGCTGCAGGTCCTGAGGTTTCAGCCCCAAACGGCTTTTTCGAGAGGCGCAGCCATCGAGCATCGGGCGCCTGAAGAAACCACCCGATCGCTCCGCAGTCGCTAACATACGGGCTATTTGCATTGCTTTAGTAGCTTGCGACATGGCGACGGCGTCAAGACACTGGGATCCTGGTGGTTGACAGGGTGACGTATGCGGCTGACGGAAGCGGTCCGCAACCTACCACGTCCACGCATGTCAGCGAGCTGTTGTGTAGAAGCAGCCCCAGACGTTTGCTGAGGAAGTTGTGAATGCTGAATGTCGTTGCAATGTTGGCCTTGTCGGTGCAGCCTTGGAGCGCGAACAAGGCGCAGGCGGCGCACGGCGGCAAGGGATGCCAGCATCGGCACCAAGCGCTTGGCTCTGCGATACACACGAATCGTCTCGTAATCGAGGCAACGCCACGCCCTGCGGATCCCCCAGCAAGGCACACACAAGCCCCGTTGGCTGGCGACTTTAGGCCCGGAAATGGCGGCGGCTGCCCATGCTTGTTACGTGGGCAGGTGCACTAAAGGGCCACAGAATCCGTTACAGGTCCAGACTTGACCTCATCATACGCGTCGTCATCACAAGGCTCGAACGCCCCCTGCGCCGACTAAAGCCTCGCGCCTGCGCCTCTACTTCGCATCGACTGTATTCCTAGTCACAGCTCGTTTGTTTCTGCTTTGTCGCTATTATTCCCTTGTCATCCTCTACTCGCACTGTGCTTGGACAGCGCTCCGCTTTTTGCGACTTCAATTGCAATCTCAAACACAAGGCCATTGCCGCCCTCACCCAACTCCGACCACTCGTGCGTCAGGTTTTACCAAGCCACACCAGGGATCCTTTCACTTCCGTGGTATACATCGATCGCACATCCCTAGGATCCTCTCCTCAGAAACAACATCATGAAGTACTCGACGTTCTTGGCGGCGCAATTGGCGTCGTCGGCTGTAGCAGTGAGGCTTGCACCGCGAGAGGTAAGTGCGACTCTTGGCACCCCAGATTCACTGCGAAGCGAATCCTCCCGCAGCGCCTCGTGCGCATCACCAGAGCTTTGTCGAATGCGATGCTGACTTTTCCAGAACCCAAGAGTAGTGCGACTGGATACCCAGCGCCGGAATGTCAACCCTGTCGCACACGACCAGCTACGAAGACGGCAAAACGTTGTCCAGCAGACGCTTGACAACCTCGAGACGCTCTACTTCGCCAACGCCAGCTTAGGCACCCCCGAACAGAACTTCCGCCTCCACATCGATACCGGCAGCAGCGATCTCTGGGTCAACTCAGTGAACTCGAATCTGTGTAGCCAAGGCGGCAACCAGTGCGGCGAATCGGGCACATACAACGCGAACGACTCTTCGACATACAACTACGTGAACGGCGCGTTCAACATTTCATACGTGGACGGCTCAGGCGCATCGGGAGACTACGCGACAGACAACTTCCGCCTCGGCGGCCAGACAGTAGAAGACCTGCAGTTCGGTATCGGCTACGTGTCGAGCTCACCGGAGGGTATTCTCGGAATTGGCTACACCATCAACGAAGTTGCCGTAGGACGCGCCGGATTAGAACCATACCCCAACTTGCCTCAAAAGCTAAAGGACGACGGTACTATCAACTCAAACGCATACTCGCTATGGCTGAACGACCTGGATGCGTCGACCGGAAGCATTCTCTTTGGAGGCGTAGACACCGACAAGTACTCGGGTGAACTACAGACACTACCAATTATCCCAGAGCGTGGACAATATGCCGAATTCATCATCGCTCTAACTGGTATGGGGCAGAACGGCGAGAACGGGTCTATCTTCAACGATTCCAACGTACCGGTCCTGCTTGACTCAGGGTCCTCCTTGATGTATCTTCCTGATAATGTCGCGAGCGCTCTGTACCAGACCTTCGGCGCCCAGTACCGTCCTTCGCAGGGCGCAGCCACTGTCGACTGCGACCTTGCGAATCAGGAAGGCTCGCTTGAATTCAACTTCTCCGGTGTCACGATCTCTGTCCCACTCAACGAGCTTGTCATAGTTGCTGCCGTTAGTCGTGGACAGCCCGTCTGCATACTTGGCATTGGGCCCGCGGGCTCCTCTGTCGCCGTTCTCGGCGATACTTTCCTACGATCCGCATACGTTGTCTACGACCTTGAGAACAACGAAATTTCCCTTGCCCAGACAAATTTCAACGCCACCTCAGAAAACGTCCAGGAGATTAAAGAAGGCTCTGACGGCGTACCCAACGCTACAGGTGTTCCCAACGCAGTGTCTACTGCAGCTGTCGGCACTGGCGGACCCAGAATCGATGGACCCAACATAACCGGTGGCGGTGGAATCCTGACCTCTACCGGCGCTGCCATGCCGGCCGCAACTGCAAACCCATGGGTTGGCGGCGCTGCGGTCGCTGGTGCGGGCATCCTCATGGGCTTCAACGGCTTCTGATGTGCGGACTACAATTTTCCTAATACCTGTCCAGCGTAATGACTTTTTCTATAATGCATACGTGCATCGTTGGCGTTATCAAGAGTGGCATGGATTACAACCTCTCGGTTAAGGGTTTTGCATATTCACCAACCTACCTGGAAGTAGGTCTGTTGCTTACATAGAAGCATAGCATTATCATGAATTTTTAACGTCTATTGCATCTCTCACAAAATCGCTTCTGGTTAGTGACGGTGAATACCGATGTCGCGTTTGACTAGATGGTGACGACACCCGCGGGCCTGACAGGACGCGTAGCGCCTGCCGCGTAATAGCTTCAACGCCTGGAATCACTAAGTCGCAAGTCGCGCATCATCACATGCATGAACACTTTTGACTGATTATGCCGCTATTCGGTATTTCCGCCAATAGTCGAAGATGTCTACGTACAATCGCCTCAATGCTGTAAGATCCATACGCGTTCCCTTTCGGCTTCAACTCTTGCCGAGACTACATCCCAAAGAGGTCGTCACTTTGACGCTCTTCCTCCACCTACTCATTCGCATCATCTCACTGCTTAGGTTAGAAATTGCGCCATCTTCAATGTCAAGATCGACGGTGGACGACTTACCTAGTTCCTCAGACACCTCTGTTTCCGAAATCCGATCTAGTGGATGTGGATGATGTACCCGCGCATTTCTAACTGGAGGTTCGAAAGGCAACGGCTCTGATCAGTAGTCAGTATCCGGACGTCGCTCAAGCTCGATGCCATCCCTCGGCGGCGTCTGAACTGTTGCGGTGGGGCCAGCGTTGGAGGTCTGTTGTGATGAAGTCGCCGCTGGAAGAAGCTGTGTCGCGCCGTCAGCGGGTTGTGTATGAGACGTACTTGCAACGTTGCTGTTTTGCTGTCCTTGTGACCTTCGTTGGGTCCATCGCTGTTGAGTGTAGGTGTAAAGTCGTACCAATGCGTTGCGTATCGTGTTCCATAACCCTGAGAACATGCCGGGTCGAGAACTATGGATTACGTAGATGATAGGGGCGAGCAGGACTAGTATTGAGAAAATGATTAGCCCGTAGAATAACTTGTTAGGCATAGTTCCTTGACTGCGATGTCTGTGTGATATTCTTCATGCCATGGAGGGCCTGGAAGAGAGTAATTATAGTAGTATGATTGATTGTTTGATGAAAACTCCTCAACGTTTGTACCTACGAAAGGGTGTTCTGTACACTACGACAACCTTTGAGGACTATGTAAGATGAAAGAACGAGATAGACAATCATAGCAGGAAGAACGATAGATGGGTAAGGAGAAAGTTCTAGAGATCTGATCATCCGCGCCCCTTCTCAGACTGCATCATTCGTATCCTTACTACTGTACTTATGCTGCTTGGCGTGTGGGAGCTGTACCACATCCTCATGGTGATTTGCGCTGCCTCTGTTGTCTTTCTTGAGATATCTGCCAACGTATCCCCTTTCACCCCAAAGATGAAAAGGGTCGACCAAGCCCTTGAATACTCCTCGCTTATTCCTCTTCTTCTCTGCTCTAGCCGCCTCCAACTCTGCATCACTCATGTCCCAGAACTGCGTCTTCTTGTCCCTCCCTTTGAACAGGCCCCAAATATCAAAAGGGTCGAACATGGTAATGATCCACGGTCTATCATCGCCCCAGCCAGGTCCCTTGCGCTCGGTGACGCCATCGCGAGCTAGAAACACGGTGTTGGACGGAGGTAAGCGTTTACCCGGATGCCACAAGTTCAGTAAAGCGGTGTTGAGAAACATGATGACAGCTTCGAAGATCCAGAAGTAGATTTCGTTCTGATATATGGAGGACTCCCAGCCAAGGATGTATTCCACGAGGCGGTAGATGCAGCGTATTGTTACGATACTCGCACTCACGTACATAACGTACAGTACGATGCGTAAGTCCTGCTTGAGTACTCCGGCTTTGTTGGCACGTCGATGGAATTGTGCAGCGAGGAGGCCAAATGCGCCAAAGAGTGCTGCCTGGAGACAAAGCGATGCGGTGACGAGATCTGAGCCGAGTTGACGTTCTGCATCGGTAGAGCTGGAGTTGGCCATGCGCCATGCACCCTGTCCGATCAGAATCTCGCATACGCCGTCGAGGCCTATGAAGGTCGTTGCTACCCGCCCTGGGTGAAGAGGGGCCAGGTAGGGGATATAGTACAGGAGACGCGACAGTAT